GTGACGTCATATCAACAATTGAATGCTCAATTTCATGTTGCTCACGCTTTCTCGAAGTTCTTCACCTCAAGGGAAACACCGTTGGCCAATCCCAAAGGAACCTCCCTGGCCACGGGGACCACCTAGTTAGGTATGAAAGACCAAACAGCTCTTTATTCAATTTCCTTAGTCCTTAATTAAGTGTAGTTTAATGGTCGAGTGTGAGACATTAAGTAATATATTGATATTGTACGAGTGCGTAGCACGAGGGCAATATCAATATTATACTTAATGTCTTGCACGAGAACATAAAACAATTTAATATACAGACAATACCCAGCACGCCATTTCAATGAAATACGTCACGCGCGTCCAATATTACAACTAGTATAAATAATGTACGCTTGGCACACTGCCCGTACCATTATTTGAAATAATGGTAAGCCAACATGAAAGTATGACGTTACATCTGTATTTTTATTTCAATAAGGAAAACTGAATAAAGATCTGTTTGGTCGACCATAGTTAGTGAGCCAGTGTCCTGTTCCCTTAGCCACCTGACGCTACACCAAATAAGCACACAATGCTAATATGCGAATTAGTGGCTTAAAGGTGATTATGCAAAACAAAGATCTGCTAAATAAATTTTTTTTGTTTGAAAGATCAATACAGCTTTTTTTCATTACCATAATAGCTTTGTTCAACTGGTGAAACAAAAAGGTGAGGTTGCTCATATTTCAATTAACTCACGTTTTTTTTGTATTGATTGTTTTTTTTTTGTCTGTAAAGATGTCGATTATTTTTATTTCGATAAAAATTCAATTCCATTTGAAGATTCTCAGTTCTTTATTAAGCCGAAGCGCAGAGCGAAAATTCTTAACATTATTTTACACTTATTAAATTTGCTTTCAGAGTACACTAGCAAGATCATCTTGTTTTCTATGAGATATAAGAGGCAATAAATTATATAAATTTAAAATGCCGAAAGCTGTGATATCAGTTTTATTTATCTTAATGAACATAATCTTGAAAGTCAAATGTGACAAATTTAGTACTTCTTCAAGTTGTCCTGGAAAAGTTATAGAATCTCAGTATACGTACAAAACGTTGATATCAAGGAGTAAACTAGAATGTGCTTCATTTTGTGATCTGGACTACAGATGTCAGTCTTTCCAGTATGGTGCCAACCAATGCCAGTTGAATGATAAAATGGGTGGTAGCAACTGTAGTAAGATGGTGGATAGCCCCTCATTCATATACTATCAAAAGGTGAGTCGATATATGGAACTATCTGTAACCGATCGTGAATTTTTGGACAATATCTATATTTTCGCGGCTTTATCTATGATGAAATCTACCAAGATTGGTAATTGATCCTTTAATTTAGAAAAACAAAATCAAAATATTAATTATTAAACAGCAGAATATAAAAACCCGAATACTAAATACAAAAACCCGAATATTAACTTTGTGAACATGACGATTTAAATGCATAAATTCCGCACCTGGATCTAAAAGATACAGGAAATGGGGTTTAACGTCCACTCGACACAAACTAGGTCATTTTGGGACTAACACATGGTTCAATTTTATTTCAATAATTCGTTTGCGCGTAGAGGTCTTTAACAGTGGGAGGAAACCGAAGGACCCGGAGAAAACCAATCAGGTTAAACAAGCGATCCTACTCCTTGTCACGTACAACCGAGGAATCGAAACCCCGCCAGTTCACTCAATGACAGAGCGTATGATACAGGGCGCAGGTGCTAACCATTCGGCCATCCGACCCCCTAACGGTAGGTTATCTCCCGGCTTGGATTCAATCGGCGTAAAAACAAGTGTTAGCGAAAGGTTGTAAATGAAATGAAATGAAATGGGGTTTAACGTCCTACTGTTCTGCTCCTATACTGAGCTAATGAAGACGGGCATACGCCATACAGTGTGCTATGAGGGAAATTTTGCCCAGGCAGTGACACTATCGCTTACTCATATATCGAATTCCAACTGCCAAGGGATCTTTTACTTGCATTCCAATGTATACACGGGACCTCGGTTTTTCGTCTCATCCGAAGGACTAGACAGCTGTCCTTGTCAGGCCCTCCGTCCTGCATCACTGACAAGGGGGAACCACGCTGGAAAATCCAGGCTAGCGAGCCAGCGGCTTACCCACTTAGCCACGTGATCCCCTGCGAAAGGTTGTACCGAAAACGTTAAAAAAATCGGATCAAAATACAGATCTACATTTCGTTTCGGTTTTTTTTTTATACTTTCGATAGCCTGCACTGCATGAAGATCTGGTTGGTTGAAGTAAAAGATCACGCCAGAAATCATATGATAGGCTTTTGACCCTATAACGTCAGACATTTGATTAAACAATCAGCATTGGTGTGTCTAGGGGGTTACCCACAGTTTCGTGCACCTCACGCACCGTTTCGTTGGCTAATCTCTCACATCAATTAGAACGCCGGGTTTATAACAACTCTTTCAGATACCAGTGTAGCATAGACAAGTAAAGCGAAATTTTGAACTATAAAAAACGAAACGAAATAGGATCTGTGTTTTAGTCAGTTTGCCAACACTGACACTGCAATTATCCCAAATGTCGTGAAATGTTGATTTATCATATCTTTGTAAATACTGAAGGGAATTGAAGAAATATTATAAATATGTGATCTTCAGTAAAAACAGAACCAGATTTAAAAAATAACATTATATTTAAAAAAAAATATATATGAATATTAAAGATGTAATATGTAAGAATTAGATAAAGGCTTGGCCGTTTGAAGAACAGTGTAATCTCGATTAACATGGCTAAACAATGTAATCTCGATGAACATGGCTAACGTTGTTACTATAAATCCAAATATTGGCTAACGTTGTTACCGTAATAAATAAAATCTTGATTATCCATTTTTGATTAAGTTATTTACTACCACTCGTGCTTAAATCCGTTGAAAATCAAAAGCATCCGGTAGTCTAGAGAGTTGATTACACGTGAATACATTTCTAATGAATGATTTATATAACATTTATATAACATTTATATAACGTTTTTCGAGATTCGCCAATATCAAAAAACAAGGAGAAAGAGCAATTTTTATGTGAATACACTGCTCAGGCATCCTCTATTACGATATATTTAGTTCGTTTTACAAAACTGATTTAATCAATGTGTTTTGGAGACATTCTGTCGATGTACATCCATTAAATCTACTTTTTTGAGATTCAAGTTTGAATATCGAAAAACGAGTAGCTCGTTTTTCGAGATTCGCCAATATAAAAAAAAAAACCAAGAAGAAATATCAGTTTTATGTAAATCCACTGCTCAGGCATCCTCATTTATGATATATTTAGTTCGTTTTAGAAAACGTATTTAATCAATTCTGTAGATGTACATCCATTAAATCTACTTTTTTGAGATTCAAGTTTGAATATCGAAAAACGAGTAGCTCGTTTTTCAAGATTCGCCAATATCAAAAAAACAAGGAGAAAGAGCAGTTTTATGTGAATCCACTGCTCAGGCATCCTAATTTCTGATATTTTTAGTTCGTTTTAGAATACTTGTATAATCAAATGTGTTTTGGAGACATTCTGTAGATATACATGATTAAAATTTGTATTTTTGACATTCAAGCCTGAATATCGAAAAACGAGTAGCTCGTTTTTGGAGATTCGCCAATATCAAAAAACAAGGAGAAAGAGCAGTTTTTATGTGAATACACTGCTCAGGCATCCTCTATTACGATATATTTAGTTCGTTTTACAAAACTGATTTAATCAAATGTGTTCTGGAGACATTCTGTCGATTACATCCATTAAATCTACTTTTTTGAGATTCAAGTTTGAATATCTAAAAACGAGCTAGCTCGTTTTTCGTTATTCACCAATATCGAAAAACGAAAATCGAGCTAACTTCACACTGCCATATATAGGTCCCGAATATGAATATTAACAATTAGAAAATGCTATATATATGTCCCGAATATGAATATTAACAATTAGAAAATGCTATATATAGGTCCCGAATATGAATATTAACAATTAGAAAATGCTATACATAGGTTCCGAATATGAATATTAACAATTAGAAAATGCCATATACAGGTCCTGAATATGAATATTAACAATTAGAAAATGTTATATATAGGTCCCGAAAATGAATATTAACAATTAGAAAATGTTATATTATATGTGTCTCGAATATGAATATCAACAATTAGAAAATGCTCTATACAGGTCCTGAATATGAATATTAACAATTAGAAAATGCTATATATATGCGCTGAATATGAATATTAACAATTAGACAATGCTATATATTGGTCCCGAATATGAAAATTAACGATTAGAAAATGCTCTATATAGGTCCTGAATATGAATATTAACCATTAGAACATGCTATAAATAGGTCCTGAATATGAATATTAACAATAAGAAAATGCTATTAATATAAAAAAAAAATGCTATATACAGGCCCTGAATATGAATATGAATAACTACCTGAAATATTCAAGATAACAAAGGGAGCTAAAAGAGGTCTAAAAAGAGAGAAATGGGGTTTAACGTCTATTTGGCACAAACTAGGTAATTTCGTTACTAGCATATGGTTCAATTTATTCGAATAATTCGCTTGTGCGTGTAATTTGTTTATTATAGTAGTAGCGTTGCTCATTAATCGAGACTCAGCCTCGCTTATCCATTATTAAATTGAATTGTAACATGGACGGGAAATCTTCCTTTGTTATTTTCGTTGAATAATTATAACTTATTAAATGACACCTATGTTCTATGTTCTACTCACAACCATCTGGTGGGATTGAATAAATGAATAAATGTCCAAATAATAATTTACATAACATTTGAAGACCAAATAAAAACGTGTAATAGGCAGATTTAGCTCTTATATAACGCATTTTTAAAACTATAATTTGAAGTAAGTGGTATTTCATCGACTTCATCAACTTAACCAATCTCTTAATAGTTCCTATAGATTGTATTTCAGTATGGCGGGGTCGTAAAATATTAATTCTGAAATTCGATTTTGGCAATCAATATTATGCTTATTAGTTTTGCAAATGATCGAAAACATTTTCGATTTATTAACAACCGATCCTAGCCGAATAACGAAAATCAGTTTGCTTCCCAGAAAATTTTTGGATAGTTAATTATTTCAAAGATCCAGAGAGAGAGAGAGAGAGAGAGAGAGAGAGAGAGGGGTTTAACGTCCACTCGACACAAACCAGGTCATTTCCAGACTAAGGTATGGTTTAATTTTATTTCAATAATTCGCTTGCGCGTAGAGGTCGTTAGCAGTGGGAGGAAACCGGAGGACCCGGAGAAAAAACCCACGAGGTTGGACAGGCGACCCTATTCAAAGATCCAAGTATCACAATATTGTAGTTACGAACAAATAGATTCAATATCTCCTAAATGACGATCGGTTCGTTCTAGTTATTACCATTAGTATAACATTTATCTCGATTTGTTTCAGACAATGTAAAGAAGTTGGTCTTCCATATCTTTTCCGAATCTTCATCGACTCCACCCCATTGGCCTAGTTCCTTTGAATTGCGTTGCACAATGGCGAGGTGATACAATATTAATTTTTAAATTCGATTTCGGCAATCAATTTATTAGAGTTATTGTCATTAGCTTTAAAAAAGAATCAAATTATCTTCGGTTAATTAACAGTCGGTCAATTGTTTCCCAGATCTTGACCGTAGATTTCTCAAATAAAATAACAGCACATCCCAGAAACAATAAAACTCTGAGTCGATAACATATCGATATCTAGATATTAAAAAGGGGGTGTATTTCCTGGATTAACATTATCGGTTAAGAAGAATCGAAATATTTTATGTCTTTGTTAAGGAAAATCTCTAAAGCGCATTAAGCTCTTTAAAGGCATATATAAAGAAAATAAGTAAAAGCGTACTGTGCGAACCATGACGTCACCGCAGCCATCTTAGAATTTTGGCGTCATATCTATTTGCCATTTATTTGCCCACGTTGATATTAGCTTTAGATCGCTATTGATTGAATTAGCAGTTCTAATGGTTTATCATTTATAATTGCAAATAGGGACGAATAATGGTACATTGTTATTTAGATTTTTTGAAATATCATTTGTGTAGATTTAGAATAGAAAATAACCGAGTATTGATCCCTGGGCAACCCCGGATTCAGCTGACAAATAAGGTGATTGAAAGCCTTCAAAGACAAAACATTGTTTACGATCTGTTAAATAGTTGTATATCCAGTCACATAAATGTAGACTAATACCATACTTTCGCAGCTTATATATAATTCCCATGTGCCAGACTTTATCAAACGCTTTAGAAATATCACAGAATACAAAACTCAACCCTTTCCCTTTATCTAATAATAATAATAATAATAATTTTATTTTCAATGCATGTTAGGCCATAGACTCATAGGTTAGCTCATGATATAATTCATATTGATAAACGACAATTTTAACATCTATAAATAACTAAAATTCATTTTCAATATACATTTCCATAGGCTCTGCTGCGTTCTGGATTGACTGACATAGAATATCTGTTGCCCCATTTATGTCTTGCTCTAATATCTAGATTACTTATGATTAAATTATATACCTCAAGAAGTTGGTTTATTGTTGAATTATTCTTTTGAAATCCTGACTGATGTTTAGATAATAAATCATATTTTTAATAAAGTTGTACTGAATTTTTAGGATAATTTTTTCAAATATCTTACAAATTATGCACGTTAATGAAATGGGGCGATAATTTTTTGTTAATTGTGGATCACCCGTCCCTTTAAGAGCAACTGTGACATGAGAAGTTTTCCATATGTCTGGAAGTTGTTTAGGTGTAAGTCACGGGTTGAATAGACGAGTTAATGAAATTACAATGACAGGAGATATGTTTTTATTTAGAATTAATGGGCTATTTTATCTGGGCCTGTTGGCTTTAAAGTGTTGACTATTTTAGATTGATCTTTATCCTCTTGTTAAGCTACGATAAAATCATTCATTGTGATATCAGAGCGTGAATCAAAGGGTGGTAATTCCTGCGAGGTATCTAGTTTTTAAACAGATGTAAAGTATGAATTTAATACCGTCGCCTTATAAGTTGGGAGAGAATAAATTTTGCCATTGAGGTAAATTGGGGTTTGATTATTACTATTTACATTTTCCATTTTACTACTTTCCACCACTGTTTTGATGTGACTTTATGATTATTTATTTTATTAGTGATTTTAGATTTATAATTATCTTTCGCTTGATGTATGAGTGAAATTACCTCATTTTTAATTTTATGGAACTTTAGCCAATGGTTTGTTGATGGATATTTATCAGAACACCGAGCATGATTCTTTTGCAGCCTTTAGCTTCCATTTTGCTAAATTTATATCTAAACAAAGCGCCTTCCCGTTTGATCAACTGTTCCCAATGCGCATATGCAAACGTACTCGAGGATCCTGGTCGAGTGAGCCTGGAGCAAGTTAGTCCCGAAATCAACTATTTGTGTCTCTTTCAATTTCAGGCGTGCCGAAATGGTGGTTCTGTGGGTGCTTCTTTTTGTTTGTGTGGTAACAGTTATGTTGGAACATACTGTGAAAGATTCATGCAAGGTTTGTATTTTATCTTATGTATTTTTTTTAAAAGAATGAGTATTAATAGGGCAGGGCGATTTGCCCAATACCACCTTAGTAACACCAATACCAAAAAATACTAACCCAATAACACCCAATTGTACCCAATTGTAACCCAAAACCACCTAATAGTAACCCAATAACAAAACATTCTACCCAATACCACCCAATAGTAACCCAATACGAAACAATGCTACCTAATACTAACACAATACCACCCAATAGTAACCCAATACCACGCAATACTAACCCAATAGTAACCAATAGTTACCCAATACCAAGCCATACTACCCAATAGCATCCAATACTAACCCAATACTAACCAATACCACCCAATAGCAACCCAATCTCACGAAATACTAACCCAATAGTAACCAATAGTTACCCAATACCAAACAATTCTACCCAATATCATCCAATACTAACCAAGTAGTAACGCAATACCACCCAATAGTAACACAATACCAAACAATGTTACCCAATAGTAACTCAATAGAAACCCAATACTAATACAATAACACCTAATAGTAACACAATACTACCCAATAATATACAAAGACCACCCAATAGTACCCACTGTTAACCTAATATTAACAATAGTAACCCAATAGGGTAGTATTGGGTAGCATTGGGTAAATCGTTATTTTGTGTTTACAGCAACCCACTATGAACAACATTTTATACGCTCGCTGGATTCGAGATGTTTAACGTCCAATCGACGCAAACTAGGTCAATTCAGGACTAACATATGGTTCAATTTTATTTCAATAAATTACTTGCGCGTAGGGGTCTTTAGCAGTGGGAGGAAACCGGAGTACCTGGGTAAAACCCAGCAGGCCGGACAGGCAACCCTACTCCTTGCCACATACAGCCGGGGAAACGAAACCACGCCAGATGACTCAATGACAGACCTTATGATACAGCGCGCACGTGCTAACCATTCGGCCACCCAACCATCTGTTAGTCCCGAAATGACTTAGTTTGCGTTGAGTGGACGTTAAATCCCAATCTTTCTACTCGTAACAGCGTACTTACGAAAATTGAGTAAAAAAAAAAGAGTTATATGTCAATGAGGTCGGACTCTAGATGCAATGTATCCAATATGCATCGCAGTGTTCCCAATATGTACAGTGATTATCCAAAATGCACAGTGATCGACCTTAAATTTGCCGTGATCATTCTCGCAATGAATCGTGCAGTAATTAAGTTTTCATATATGATCTTAAGCGTTATTCTGGCCTTAAATGATACTCTCTGTTACAGATTGTGCGGAAGGATTTTCTTCACCACATGGGTACTCCACCTTTGGTATGTACACGATACAACCGGTACTATCACCAACACCATTTCAAGTGTACTGTGAGATGAGAAGCAACGGGGGTCGAACTCGGTTTCAGTACCACGAATCATCGACCTTCTACTTCAACCGAACATGGCAGGAATACAAAGATGGTTTTGGTTCTCTGACCAGTGATCATTGGTTGGGTTTGGACAAACTCTACTATCTGACCAATAGTAGGGATTATACTGGGGTATTCTACATGAGGCTTGTCAATTCAAGCTATTATCAACATTATTATAGGGAATTCGTAGTGATGAATGAAACCAACAACTATCAAATGACCTTTGCCCTTGCGGCTCCCCACAGTACTATATCGTTGGGCGACAGTTTAACGGCGGTAAAGAATCAATATTTTAGCACTTACGATAACGACAACGACAACAGCAGCAGAAACTGTGCTTTAGACATGAGAAGTGGATGGTGGTATAATGACTGTGCACCTTGCAATCCTAATGGAGAACTATTGAAACCCAGTGATTGGTTAAAAACAACCGATTATGAAGCGTTCTGGACCTATGATTTACAGGATATTGTCCCTGCTCAAGTTAAAATGTGGTTACGTGTGGAATAACTATGACACTACAACCTTGTCTCGCTGCGCGATATATGTAGCTTTAACAGAACCGTGCGCATTTTCTGCGAGCCACAACATTTTTTAACTAGTATAATATACTAAACAGCAAAAAAAAAACCAACTTCAGTACGAGTTCAAAATCAGAACGGTACATGAACATGAAATGGACCAGACGATTGGTGAACGCCATTGGCACCTGGAACCACACTCTTGGCGCAATCCATCGGCTGTGTTTGGTCTCGGTACGACTTCATTAAGTCTCCTCTGAATTTCATCCCAAAGATGTTCAATCGGATTTAAGTTTGGACTAAGGGCTGGCCAGTGCGTAACGTTGACACCGTTCTATCTTGGAAAGTCCCGGGTAACTCTGGCGGTGTGGGCACGGGCGTTGTCATGTTTTTAAACGTTGTTTTGATAACGTGCGAAATGTGGTATGACGTGTGGTCTAAGTGTCTGATCGATGTAGCGCACTGCTGTGATGCTGACTCCTCTCACTGGACCAAGAACACCACAAGACCCACTCTCTGGTTCAGGCCGATTCCACCCCAAACCTTTATGCTTGGACCTCCCCATGAGTCTCGTTCCATGATAACATTGGTCAGAATAACGCTGGCCACGTCGACGCTATATTCTGGTCCTGCCATCTGCAATGCATACACAATTCCTACTCTCATCTGTGAACAGTCCTCCATTGCCTGTGTCGCCAGTTCTGGTGTTGTTGGGAAAACTGTAGACGTTCACGTCGATGGCGAAGCGCGAGAATCGGTCCACGGTAAGTTCTGCGGCAATGAGACGTCGGCACACTGTATCGGTACTGATGGGTCTTCCGTGTGTACCCACTGTCTGACGTGCTGTCGCAGATGTCCGTGGGAAGGGATTCTGCGTGTGCTATCGCACAACATGGCGCTCTGGTCGCCTTGTGGTAACACTTGGTCTAACAGCTCGGGGGCGATCATCTGTGGTGTTGGTGGCCCGAAAGCGTTGCTGAAGCCTGTAGATGGTCCGAACATTGACCTGGAAGTGATTGGTAACGACTTGGCCAGGCTGGCCAGCGTCGAGTCTTCCAAGCGCCTGGTTCCTCTGAGCTGTCGTGAATAGTTGCATGCTGCTGACGATGTAGTGTGAATGATTTAACCAGGTATGGGGGTGCATTTTATAGGGCTGGTCCCGGTGAACAGCACGTGCAGCATGAGTTACATGAAAATCATGGAGAACACATTGCCACCTCAGAAGTCATGACAACATTTCCTGGGTTCAATTCTGTGTTTGGGAAGGAGCCTTATTGCCCGGGTAAAGTTGGAGGTGTGGTCACAAATATACAATAAAAACATGTGGCAAGTTTTATGCAATGCGTCTATTCAGAGTAACATATAAACCTGACGTTTCTTTTGCTGCTTAGTATACTATATGATCATTTTATATCTATGAAAGGTGTTCTGTTTAAATGTAGAAATTCGTTAGATACAGGAGGGGTTGGATGGCCGAATGGTTAGCACGTGCGTGCTGTATCATAACGCCTGTCATTGAGTCACCTGGCGTGGTTTCGAATCCCCGGTTGTACGTGACAAGGAGTAGGATCGCCTATCCAACCTCGTGGGTTTTCTCCGGGTCCTCCGGTTTCCTCCCACTGCTAATGACCCCTACGTGCAAGCGAATTATTGAAATAAAATTAAAGCATATGTTAGTCCCGATATGACCTTGTTTGTGTCGAGTGGACGTTAAACCCCATTTCTCTGTCTCTCTCTCATTAGCTACAGGATGTGTGACGAAAATTAGGTTTTGAATTAACTTGCATTATTACTATCGCCCAGTCATCTCGTGCACAGAATATTCCAATTAAATAGAATGATGTTGGGGTAAAACATTGCTCATACGAAACACTTATCCAAAAATGGTAAATGCCCCGCCCTACTATAGCTGCCACATCTATGCTTTCTATTATAGGAAGCAGCGGGTTCAATCTTCAACCGTCGTTCCTAGTCGTACGACAATATGTAGTGGTTCAGTCGTTAGGTCTCAGTTCTAGGCTTGTTCAACTCAGACTCTAGATATTATAATAACTTCTAATGTACATGTACTAACATAGATGTTGTAGTTTCCTGTATTTGATATATATATACATAGTTTTAACAACACAGTGTTCCAGAGTCAATTGATCTTTAGAAATATTTTATACACAACGTAGAGGCCAGAGTTAATTCATCTGTTTAAAAACATCGTAGTGTCACACTAGAACCTTAACAAATTGCACAGCATTAGTATTGCGTACACGTTTTCATTGTACAGCTTTATAGTTTATGTCTAAAACCTTACACCGACTCCCAACGCAAACCGCAATCTTATACAGGGTTTAAGCTTCCATTTGACGCTGGTAAAACTCCCGATCAGAACCCAATGCAACGGGATTTCACGAGCTACGTTTCTGCACTAGCCGGGTAACTCAGTACGCAGGAACCTATACGAATTACAAAGGTCTTTTATAAAGCTCTTACTACAGAACCTTAAAAAGTTAGTATAATAATATTATATATTATACGCGCGATATGTTCTACACGCAGACCAATCTATGAAGCCATTATTAACTATTTTCAACAATAGACGGAATATTCAATGAACATTACACGCCCACTAACAATAAAAGGTTCTGGGCCAGGGAAAAGTTCTTATGGTTACTGTACATATCCATTATTAACTGTTCCAAACATATACAGAACATTCAAGGAGCCAATTACACGCCAACGTCACTCGAAGATACGTATAGCCAATTAATAACGCTTCAAGTTCAATTTGTAATTAGTAACGCTGTAAAATGACCAATTTAATTACATTGGAAGGTGTATAATGATCAAAAAAGTCTCGTTGGCAATAAATATGACTGACAATATGTGAGATTATAGCAGACGAAATATTGTGACAATCTGGGGACACGTACTCTGTGTCCGGACGACCAAATCTTCTGTGTCACACTGTCGTGTGTCTAAGTAGGACTTGACGTTGTGATCAATAAGACTTCAAATTCTTTTCTGTTCTCTGGAGATATCTTGATAGGTAACAATAATATATTCTACAACATCGACACAGCTATTGTTCTTTAGGTATTTAAACGTTAACCACGATTAAAACCTATGATGTGTACCCTGGCTATTTCGCTCAACCGCCCCTCCGGGAGAACGCGCCAGTCTAATTTATATAAAAAGGTGAGGGGCGTCAACTATTAGGGCGGATCTTTGACCATATTTGGGCAAGCGCTGCATTAGAGCACGCCGTTACGTCAACCCTAATTTTATGAAATTGGGCTAATTTGTACTGTACGAACGGTGCGGAGATCTCTGACCTGAAATAACTGGTAGCAGGAACCGTGAGTCAAGTCTAAGAAAGATGAAGGAATCCTGCAAGGGTAGCCTGCATTAGTGTCATAATATCTTCAACGATTCAAAACAATATGTCGGGTGATACACGTTGTGTTATTAGTAATACTAGTCAAGCAGTAGTAAGAAGTTTTATTTTAATCCCTTCAAGTGCCTGTGGCTAAAACAACACAACTAAATGATATTTGATCGTTACTCTGGCTTCAACAAAATAAATGAAGTAATTTGATTGAAATTTTTATCATAATCCTTTTTCATTACTAGTATATATTTTTTATAACTAGTATAGCGAGAACTTGGCATCGTTTCATATTTCCCCCATTAATAATTCGTTGTGAACGCGAAAGAAATGAAAATGAAATGGGGTTTAACGTCCTACTGTTTTGCTCCTAAACTGGGCTAATGAAGACGGGCATACGCCATACAGGGAGCCACGGTGGCTAGGTGGGTAAGGCGCTGGCTCGCTAGCCTGGAGGTCGGGTGTTCGATCCCTGCATTGGCCGAGAAAGTTCATCCCGATTTTCCGACGTGGTTTCCCCTTGTCAGTGATGCAGGACGGAGGGCCTGACAAGGACAGCTGTCTAGTCCCTCGGATGAGACGAAAAACCGAGGTCCGATATTGGTCTGATATTCTAATGAAAATACAACCCGAAACAAATTATTACAATTTTAGAAACCACAATTGAAAATACCACAATGTAAAACGTCTTCTTATATAAAAAGCTTTTCCCCAAACACACTAAAACTATGGAATAGTCTTCCTGCGCACGTGCAGTTATCGCCGTCTCTAAATACTTTTAAGTCCAGTTTCCTAACTGAGTATCCCATACATAAAAAACCTGGGTACTTTCATTATGGAAACCGTAAGAAAAATATCATTCACTGCCAACTAAGAAATAAATCTAGTAATCTCAAAAATCACCTTTTCCACCAATACCTAGCTGAATCAAAAATATGTCCAAAATGCAGTTCTTCCGATGAAGATAACTACCACTTCTTTTTGTCTTGCCCATCTTATTCAACTATGAGAATTGAACTATTAAATTCATAAAAGGTATTCACAGAAACTATTAATCTAGATCTAATTTTGAATGGTTCTACAAACCTTTCGAACACCTCTAATACATGTATTTTGATTTGGGTCCAGTCCATAATTTTATAAAAAGTACCAAAAGGTTTTGATTCCCTTTTACATCTTGTTGTATAATATCAAATAATTGCATCAACTATATTTGTATATATCATTTCCTCATGAAACTGTATATATGTTCAGTTTTACAATTGATTATATTCAATCTTATTTTTATGTTTATATTTATCTTTTATTATTTTCTGTATCCTCGGGAAAGAACTTATCTAGGCTTTGTCTGTTGTTTAATCCTTTTCAAATGAATAAACTATTGTTTAAACCAACAAACTTTAAGAAAATCTGCTAAAAATAAATTTGTTTGAAAAAGTCAAATGATCTTATCTAAAATTAATGGCACTTGTTCACCTTATTGCACTAGCAATCTCAATTGTGCATGACGGACTTCGATATTTGATATGACGCCAAAATTCCAAGATGGCTGCGCTGACGTCATGGTTCGCACAGTACGCTTTTGCATTGAATACACATCGTTAATATTCACCCTTCAAAACTTTGTGTCTGAATGAATAAGGGGGGGGGGGGGAGAGATGGCCGAATGGTTAGCACGTGCGTGCTGTATCACAAGGCCTGTCATTGAGTCAACTGGCGTGGTTTCGAATCCCCGGTTGTACGTGACAAGGAGTAGGGTCGCCTGTCTAACCTCCTGGGTTTTCTCCGGGTCCTCAGGTTTCCTTTCACTGCTAAAGACCCCTACGCGCAAAGGAATTATAGAAATTAAATTAAACCATATGTTAGTACCGAAATGACCTAGTTTGTGTCGAGCGGACGTTAAACCCCATCTCTCTCTCTCTCTCTCTCTCTCCCCCTCTCTCTCACTCCTTTTTGCTTTTAAGTGCTTTTTGTATAACAATCTTGATGAACTTTGTGGTGGCCGAAAATCTAAAAACAGTTTTCCAGGTTTTGGTGAATATTCATAAATTTCTTTCGGAAGGAACCGCCGGTAAAGAGAGATGAATGAGGAAAATCACGTACGCCACACGGCGTATAGATACCAGGCGTAAAATCAAATCAATATGGTCAATATAGTTCCTTCCTGAGAGGATAATATCTTGAATAATGTATATAGAAGAATAATTTAAAATCGGGATTCCTGTGTGTTTCTGATGGATTAGATATATATGTCAAATGTTTTAATAATTATTAATTTTGTTGAAATGATAAATGATACGTCGATTTCCTCTCTCCCTTTCTCTTACTTGGTCTCAAATGTAATGTAAATTATTATTTGGACATTTCTTCAAGCCCAACGGATGATCGTGATTAGAACACCCGTGTCATTTAATAATTCAATTTAACAATGGGTAATCGAGGCTGAGTCTCGATTAATAAGTAACGCTACTACGATAATAAACAAAGTAAATGCACAAGTGAATTATTCAAATAAATTGAACCATATGTTAGTCCCGAAATTACCTAGTTTGTGTCAAATAGACGTTAAACCCCTTTTCTCTCTTTTGATACCTCACACCATCCTAATCCTCTTCTTTATTTAGCTCCCTTTTCTATCTTGCATATTTCATGTAGTTATTTATATTCAGGATCTGTATATAGCATTTTCTAATTGTTAATATTCATTTTCAGGACCTATATATAGCATTTTCTAATTGTTAATATTCATATTCGGGACCTATATATAGCATTGTCTAATTGTTAATATTCATATTCGGGACCTATATGTAACATGTTCTAATTGTTAATATTCATTTTCGGGACCTACATGTAACATGTTCTAATTGTTAATATTCATATTCGGGACCTATATATAATATTTACTAATTGTTAATATTCATATTCGCGACCTATATATAACATGTTCTAATTGTTAATATTCATATTCTGGACTTTTATATAGCATTGTCTAATTGGTAAAAGGGGGGTTGGGTGGCTGAATGGTTAGCACGTGCGTGCTGTACCATAAAGTCTGTCATTGAGTCAACTGGCGTGGTTTCGAATCCCCGGTTGTACGTGGCAAGGAGTAGGGTCGCCTGTCCAACCTCGTGGGTTTTCTCCGGGTCCTCCGGTTTCCTCCCACTGCTAAAGACCCCTACGCGCAAGCGAATTATTGAAATAAAATTAAAAACCAAGTGTTAGTCCCGAAATGACCTAGTTTGTGTCGAGTGAACGTTAAACCCCACTCTCTCTCTCTCTCTCTCTCTCTCTCTCTCTCTAATTGGTAAAGATGCATTATGTAAGAGCCTAATGCAGATCTTTCCTTTGGTCTCAAATGTTATATAAATCATTCATTAGAAATGTATTCACATGTAATCAACACTCTAGACTATCGGATGCTTTTGATTTTCAACGGATTTAAACACGATTGGAAGTTAATAATTTAATCAAAAGATGGATAATCAAGACTTTGTTTATTATCGTAACAACGTTAGCCATGACAATCGAGATTACGCTGTTCTTCAAACGGCCAACTCTTTATCTAAATCTTACATAATACATCTTTAATATTCATAAACAGATTTTATAAAACATAAAGTGTTTCATCAACAATTCGCGAAATCCGGGATAACTACAGTGTAAGTGTTCCCAACCTGATTAAAACACAAATCCTATTTCGTTTCGTTTTTTTATAGTTCAAAATTTTGTTTTACTTGTCTATGCTACACTAGGATCTGGAAGAGTTGTTATATATAACCGGCGTTCTGGATAATATGAGGGATTAGTCAATGAAACGGTCTGTTACGGCGAGTTTTTGGCGTGAGGTACACGAAACTGTGGGTAACCCCCTAGAAACATCAATGCTGATTGTTTAATCAAATGTCTGACGTCATAGAGTCAAAAGCCGCTCGTATGACTTCTGACGCGACCTTTCACTACAACCGGTCAGATCTTCATGTAGTGTAGGCTATCGAAAGTATAAAAAAACGAAACGAAATATAGATCTGTATTTTAATCAGATTAAACCTTTCGCTTGTTTTTACGCCGATTGAATCCAAGCCGGGAGATTAAATATAGTCAGGGGGCGGATGGCCGAATGGTTAGCACGTGTGCGCTGTATCATACGGTCTGTCATTGAGTCAATTGGTGGGGTTTCGATACCCCGGCTGTAGGTGACAAGGAGTAGGGTCGTCTGTCCAACCTCGCGGGTTTTTTCCGGGTCCCCCGGTTACCTCCTACTACTAAAGACCTCTACGCGCAAGCGAATTATTGAAATAAAATTGAACCATGTGTTAGTCCCGATATGACCTAGTTTGTGTCGAGTAGATGTAGTAAATTTGTCACATTTGACTTTCAAGGTTATGTTTATTAAGATAAATAAACCAGATATCTCAGCTTTCGGCATTTTAAATAATTTATATAATTTTTTCCCTTTTATATCTCATCGAAAAAAGGTGATCTTGCTAGTGTGCTCTGAAAGCAAATAAGTGTAAAAGAATGTTTAAAAATTTCGCGGCAATACTATATACCGGAAAACACAGGAAAACACCGGAAAACACCATTTTATACTGAATACCGGAAAACACCGGAAAAACACTAAATACCGGAAAACACCCTAAATACCGGAAAACACCCTAAATAGGTAACCCTGAGCCTGGTCCTCTGTGTGCGGTTTTGGACCAAGTGAGCGCCGATGAAGGAAGGTCAAGGTCATTACGATGTTCGTTTTACAAATAGCCCACCCCCCCCACCCCCCCAAAAAAAATTTTTTTGAGAGAAATTTGGGAGAAGAAATTGTTTAAAATAATCTGAAAAGAAATTTTTCTTTGACCGTAAGCGATCGGCTTGCTTGTATGTTAATGAACTTATTTCATCAGCGCTCACCTGGTCCAAAACCACACACGAGGACCAAACTCCGGGTTACTAAATAGCTACCGGAAAACTTAGAAGAGTAAACTGTGCCCGATATTTTTTTAGAGAGCGCGCCGCGCCGCGCCGCTCCGGGAGGGATCATCGTCAGGGTGGGACAGGGGTGGAATTGTCCAGTCACGTGACGAACATAGATCTTCCGTTCCTCAACCCATATTATTTTCACAGTCATTGTCATTAATCACAAATTACGGGATGATATACGAAAATGCATGTTTACTTTGAAATAGTGCAAATGATACTTTTCCATCTACAATCTTCAGATCAAAGGATGCAAGTTCTTATACAGTGCAGCATAATTTGTGCAACAGAAGACATCTCGAATATCGATTCGGTGTAAGTCTTCAGCCACCAGGATGTGGTTAACATAGTAATGTTTTATTACGATAATAGTACATATAACAAATTGGTTGCCTGAGGTTCTCGGGGGGAAGGTAGCCCCATCGGCTAGAGTCCTCTATTTCACAAAAAAAACAACAATTGCTTCCTTGAAAATTTATCGATCAACCCTTTTCAAAGACGTCCAGCTTAACACTTCCCGTCAATGCAGTAAGATAGAATATGTAGTTTTCTCATGGACAATTGGGCGAAAGTTGGGGTTTTCTCAAGGAAAACTGGTCAACAAGTTGGGGGAAAAAGCTCGAAAAGTAATCCAGAAAAAAATCCTGTGTGAGGCCCTCGGAATTTGATGGAATATGTTGAATATTATTATGGTTCAAGTGATTATATTTGACCCTGGAATGAAAGTAAGCTCAGAAAAAGTAGATTTTTAGCCCTTCCAACGAGATGGATAGCTCTTGGTAAGGATAGACACTTTTCAGATTACAGCCTGTCCAAGAATTGCGTGGCATCCATTTCGTTTGGTGATTAGGACACATAGCGGTTAAACCTGGAACTTCAACTCGAACTATTCAGAGATTTATTAACTCGCTTTTGATGATACTTGCTGTTTTATGATGCGATTTTTTGTTATCCAGGGAGGAGTTGGCCTAGTCGTGCCTTCCACTAATTCGTACCACCCTGATGCCAGCGTTACTGGTAAGAATCAGGAGACCGGCGCAACCGGCATATAATGGGGCCCTCCGAGGGCAGTGTTTAATCTACTAAAATACTGAAACACTGAAATCTACTGAAATTTACTGAAAACTAAAATTAAAATACAAAATAAAATGTGGTCAATGATGGAGGTAGACTGATTGCGTCTTTTAAAACATTCAAAACATAATAGGCATCCAAAATTTTGGAGAAAAAAAATCGGATTTTCTTTTTTTTGGGGGGGGGGGGCTATTTGTAAAATGAACATCGTAATGACCTTGACCTTCCTTCATCGGCGCTCACTTGGTCCAAAACCGCACACAGAGGACCAGGCTCCAGATTACCTATTTAGGGTGTTTTCCGGTATTTAGGATGTTTTCTGGTATTTAGTGTTTTTCTGGTGTTTTCCGGTATTCAGTATAAAATGGTGTTTTCCGGTATTCAGTATAAAATGGTGTTTTCCGGTTGTTTTTTCGGTGTTTTCCGGTATGAAGGAATGGCCCAAAATTTCGCTCTGCGATTCGGCTTAATCAATTAAGAACTGAGCATCTTCAAATGGAATTGGATTTTTATCGAAATAAAAATAATAGACATCTTTACACACAAAACACAATCAATACCAAAAAAAAACGAGTTTTTTTTTTGTTTTTTTTTAAATCTGACCAACCCCGCCTTTTGCTTTGCAAGTCGAACAAAGCTATTATGGTAATGAAAGGAAACTATTAATCTGTCAAACAACAAAATTTGTTTAGCAGATCTTTGGTTTGCATTATCAATTTTAAGCCACTAATTCACATATTAGCATTGGGTGCTTATTTTGTGTAGAGTCAGGTTGCTCAGTGAGTATGACACTGGCTCACTACCTATGGCAGACCAAACAGATACTCTGTTTGGTCTTTCATTCCCACTGGGTGGCCCTCATGACCAGGGTGGTTTCTTTGGCATTGTCCAAACGGGTTTCCCTTGAGGCGAGGAACTTCGAGAAAGCGTGAGCGACATGGAATTGAGCATTCGATTGTTGATATGACGTCACGTTTCTAAGATGGTGGCGATAACGTCATTTCCGTTAACTGGTCCATTACAGTACTATCTTGCTTGCTTGTAACAACTTCCCTTACCTTGAATACAATGTCACATCGTTCTCTTATTTCTTTCAGCGTTATGATCTGATTTATTTTCGTCCATATATGTTTCAAATCAAAAAATATTCTTGTTTACCTGGTATCAATAATTCAGCCGTGTTATAGTATTTTAAATTCTATGATGTGGATAAACCAGTCTATAAAAATTCACATGGATATGATTTCAATCGTTTTATAGAAGCACCATGTTTTCATGCGAATACATCATTTCTAAATATATATCAATAGAAATTTAAACATGTCTAGATCAATTATGATCAATAATGCAGTGTTTCTTGTTAAAACAGATCGAAATCATAACTAATAGAAGAGATGTTAGGCTGAAATAGAAAGTATTCCTAGACTGTTGGGTGGGACAAAACAGGGGAAACCAGCGGTGTACACGGCACGTAAAATGAAATGAAATGGGGTTTCTATATTCTGCAACGACTGGGCTATTGAAGACGGGCACACGCCGTACTGTTTGCTATTAGGGAAATTGTGCCCGGACAGCTGGACTAATGCCTTCTCTTTTACCCAATTCCAACTGTCAAGGGTTCTTTTACGGGCTCGGTTTTCTGTCCCATCCGAAA